GACCAAAGGGTCTCTATGTCGCTGCGTAAGAATCTCATCAATCAAGCCCCAGTATGAAAATGCTGTGATTGCGACCTTTTCAGGACCAAAGACTCTATAATAATCTTGTAATGCATCACCCACTCATTTCCATTTTTTGAATCTATTGTGCCCTCCAAAGGAAACCATGGGCAAACCTCATGAATAAACTTAAAATACTGTAATAATTCCTTTTTCTTTACCTTAATCCCTCGTGCCTTGAGTGCCTTACTGTGGCTTTCCACAAAGAGTTCATGCTCACTTAATGCGTGACCCATGCCGGAGAAGGGGGAGGTGGTTGCTGTTCACTCACCGTGGCTCGAGCGGCGCGGCAGGCACTCGCGCGGTGTTGGCCTCAGAATTTACTTTCACTATCTGCTTTGTAGCTGGCGCTCTCGAACAGCTCCCTCATTAAATCCTCCTTGCCAAGTCTCCACGTCGGGCGCCACCTGACTCGGCCCGCGAGTCAAAACGTGGGGTAATGACCTGGAGGAGGAACGGGGATGAAAAAGACAGGGCAAGAGACACAAGAGACGGAGACAAGACAGGCTTTCTGATCAACTCTCATTTATTGAGGAAGTGAACAGGGTCTAAATAGCCGTATAGTGGAAGTAGTTGGGTGGGACTAGTTATGGATTGGTAGTGGAGGTCCAGGACCACAGGAAGATGTCAAGGCAAGCGGGGATTGGTGCTGCAGCACTTCTTGCCCAAATAAGGGAAAATATAGCAGGAGTGTTCTATCACCCCCCACACTAACACACCTATAATGGGGAGATGTTGACTAAGGGACTGAGGACCCTTGAGCTACTCAGAGCTCTGAATTAAAGCTTCCTCCCCAGGGTGGCTCTGTGCCTTCTGCTCTGCCCCCGTGGCCACAGAACCAGTCACCACAGAAACAGATCCTGTCAGTGATGAGTGCGTCAGTGCCCCCCACAAGGCACCACAGATCCTGCACCCCATAGAGGCCTCAGAGACCCCTGAGGCAGGCTTAGGCCTCAGATCAGCCTCTCTGCTGAGAGCCACAACCTCCCTTCCACCTCCTGATGAGCCTCCCTAACCCCATTTGCGCAGGACTCAACTCTATAGCTGTAACAGGTAGCAGCATCCCTTCCCCTCCAACTGGCTCACAGCCTCCTAATATGCGCAGCTTCCAGGAGTCTCAGCGGGTACCAGGTGATTTGAGAGTATAAGATTGTGTCTCACAAATGACATGGCTCAGTGTTACCATAAACTGCATCACTTTGGAAAAGAAAGAGCAACTTCATGGATGAGAGTCCACTCGGACTCTAGCTTAAGGTCTGACTGGGCATCTGAAAATGATCTCTGAGTATCATTTTCTACCTGTTGCTCCCCTGCAGAAAAAATTCATGCCTGGGCAGGACCCCAAGCTAAGGCTGGTGACAGAACTTGCCTGAGGTCACAGTAAGGCCCTGGGCAGAGCTGCTGTGCCCCAGCAGGATCCTCATTGACAAAATCAGACTCAAGTGAAGTTTAGAGAAGCACAAGGAGGTGCTTACATACCTTTTAGTGGGAATAAGAAAATGTACAAGTAAGCCAGTAAATTATGAAAGTTTACAGAAATCACTCATGATGAGGCAGGAAAAGCTGCCTTGTTTCTGAGATAGCTCCTGGAATATTCCGTAAATTTATTAATACGGACACTGTGAGGAGGGATAAGGTTATTGGCTACACACTGTGTGAGGCTGTCCTCCACCGGACGTATATAAGAAAATTCAGAAGCAGCTCCTGTGTCTTCATACAGACCCTTGTTAATCAACTTTTCAATGTGGCTGTTTGGTTAGTGAGCAACAGGCACAAAATAGAGGCCACTCCGAAGACCCAGGGAAAAGAATACAGTGAGAATAGACACAATTAATTGCTTTATTATTAGAAAATGAAATCCTGCTGCTCAGAGAATACCCAAACTGCACATGCAAAGAGAAACAGTAGGGGACCAGATGTTTGCAATGGACTTGGAAACCTTGGATACTGGAATAGGGAGTGCAGGGAATAAGGCATGTCCAATATTCTGCTACACTATAGAACTGGGGATTGAACTCAGATCCTTGTGTTTGCCAGTCAAGTGCTTTTCCTACTGAGCCATCTCCCTGGCCCCTAATTTCTAAATTTCTTAAAGCAGTTCATGGTCGATTGCAGGGCCAGTGCAGCACTCACCATTCTGGTGCAAAACCAAAGAGGGGCTGCCAGCAGTTGTGTCATTGCCAGGCCTGGGCTGAAGCCAGGATTCTGCTCATCCTACAGGTCCTAAACCCGATGCTATCTTAAACCAAATACCTGGTGGAACCACATGGCCTATGATTTCTATATCTAAGGAAGCCTTCTTCTGCCTCTCCTTATGGCCCACTAACAATATCTGTGTGCTTTGAAATTGGTTGATTCTGATCCTGTGCAGACTGCCCTCCACACCTCAGCCCTGGTGCCTCAACATTTCAGAGAGAGCCCCCACTGACCTTAACACACTGGTGTAAACATTCAAGGCTTTTAACTTTCAAAATGGAACACCATTTCTGTATTTAGAGGATATTATCTGGGGCTCTACAAACCTGAATTCTGTGAACATAGTTCTTGATTTTCAATTCTTGGGGGCTACAGCATACTGAGTGTCCCTATAAAAGCCTCAAATACTTCACCAGAAGGAAAATATTTTGAATGCATTAGAAGCTCAGGAAATGAGCTCTTATCCATGAAATAAAGGATGTGCTTTTAGGCCTAGAGCCACCACAGTCAAAGGCAGCCCAGAGCATTGATACAGAGAGCTGCATGCTGAAAACTGGGACACATGCGGGCTGGGGAGATGGCTCAGTAGAATAAGCGCTTGCCTGGAAAACACAGGGGTCTGAGTTCAATCTCTGGTTCTGAAAAAAAACAAAGAAAGAAAGAAAAAATTTGGACTTATAACTCCCCCTCTGTGTGAGTCCACACACGGGCCTATTACCTAATTTGTTAATTCTTAGATTGAACTGGTCATCTATGTGCCTGCCTTTCAGGAATTCCTGGTGTAGGTAAGCCATTTCACCTATATGTAGCTGGAAGACAGGGCATAGCACTGGGGGTCCTTACTCACCGCCTCAATGCTAACTTGTAGTTTACATCTTTAAACAATTAGACTCTGCATCATGTGGCATATGGGGTGTGGCTGCTGCAGCACTCCTGCTTGGCAAGCTCACCAAATTACCTCCAGCACAAAACCACTGGAGTTTCAGAGCATTCTTGAAAACAAAGCACAGCGGGTGCTTACTGGAGGATGAGTATTGAAATTTGAAGTCCTCCAGTTAGACTCTCCAGAGATTACCTGCAAGAACTGCCAGATTTTAAATCCAACCACCTTGTATTGAACTCCAGGAAAATGAAACACTCTATTTCACTTCCTTATGATTCCCTGCTTGACATATACAAGACTCAGGAATCGATCTATCAGATCTATGAAATAACAGTATAAGAACCCATGGGAAAAGACACTCAGCATACCAGCGGGAAGTGATTGGAGAGGTGATAAAAACACACTCACACTCACTCAGATGCAGTAGGGTCTTTATTGCTGTGAATGCAGTGCACTGAGGCTGGCAAAATGACAATGGCCTAGAACTTTCCACCATTCCACATTGCCTTGCTCCAACACAGACAGATTTCTAAGCACAGAATAATTATTCATTCATATATTCAGTCCCAGGTCAGCAGCAGTATCCTCGGCCCACTAACTATTCCAGCACCTCCACTCTTTCTTTTGTGGAAACAAGAAAAGAAAAAATGAAGATGATGAAGGAAAAGAAAAAAGCAGAAAAAACTTTAAATGACAATTTCATCGAAATGCACAGGAACTAGGGGATCTTGAGGGTCACTGTGCTTAGGTCGGTCACACGCCACAATGAATTTTTTGTATTTGGGGCGATCTGCATAGTGGCAATTAGGAAACTGGGTTTTTCCAAGGAGCTGGCAGTCAGTCATGCTCACACGACGCACACTTTTGTAGCAGTTCGTTGCTATACCATCTTTGCAGATCCTGTTGTGCTGTTTACAGACATCAATCACATGCTGGACAGTGTCGTGCAGAAAGGTGTTTGTAGGCTTACACACCTTGTTAGGTCTGTTGACTGCAATCATTGCCTGGTCACACCGAAGAGTCTTTGGCTGGATGTGCTGAATTTTAAACCACTGAAATGGGGTGCGACCTGGAGGAATAGCCCACAGAGGACACAGTAGCCCCAAAAGGCCCAAGAGCAACAGCAGAGGAAGTGCCATGACCCGCACCATCTTTTCTGCATAGGAAAAGAGAAGATCATGGGAACAGTAGAAACAATAAGGGTAATGTCACTAGTCATGACTATGTTTTCGTTTTTCATTACAGATTTCATAACTATTTTAAAAATTTCACTCACATAGTCTCAAATTCCAGTGAAAACAATGTGAGGCAAGCCGCCCTCTCCTGTGCCCGGCATTCCCCATTCCCCCTCCAATCTGTGCTCCTGCATGCAATAGCCCTTACATTATAAACCTTGTTCTTTACCTTTTCCCTCCTGAGATGTTTCCCTTCACCTCTGACCACCTGCTCCCAGCCATCTCCTTTATCCCACTTACCCCTCAGGTTTTCCCTCATATGAGGTATTGGTGCTGGGTTCCTCCTAAGCTCTGAAGGCCTGAGGAATCCTTCTGTTGTGCTTTGCAAAGCTGAGCAGCACTGCTTGGCCAGGTAGCAAGCCCACAAAACAGAATCCTGCCTCTTAGCACATGTGAACTCCTTAAATAAAGCACAGCTCAGAAGAAAACCAACCCTGAGCAAATTTTCCGGAGAACTCCCCACCTGCCCACAAGTACCTGCTTGTGCAAGGGTACACTTAAGATTAACACTTGTGCCTGCCCAATGGAGTCCTGTAGCAGCCTGTGCCCAACAAGATCTGTTATCTCAAAGGCTGACCTCAGGCCTGTCCCTGATAAGAATGATCGTAATGGTTCTGAGGAAAGAGTCCTGTATGTAACTCCGGATGCCATCAGCAACGTCCAGGTTTATGACTTCCTCCTGTCCCCAAAGGTTGAAAAGTTTCTAAGGAATTAAACTTTTACTACAGGAGTATCTTCATCTCTATGCAGCCTCAGATGTTTCTGTGCTAGTGAACAACAACAACTAAAAGAAGCACCTGCTCTATGTGTAAACCTGGAGCCTTGCCCTGGTCCTGCACTCAGGCTTTAGGCCAAAGTCCAGCTGAATGGTGTGCACCTAATGGGGTCCTCCTGTTTCGCAGGGTTTCCTTGAACCTCTTAAAAATTCTGCAACAATTACGCCATGTGGATAAGTCTCTACATGTTTCATCTTCTCTTTCAACTTTATCTGTATTTATAGACAAAACATTCTCCTTTGCAAACAAAGGTACTCAAAAGTGTCTTGAAGGAATTGACCATCTCCTCCCCAAAATTAGCAGTTTCTTCTTAATTAGAAGCTTCATGTTTTAAGTTTTATCATTTTCTTTCTTATATAGTTCCCTTTTGAATGTACAGCTTCATATTAAAATCTGACTTAAAATATTCTACTAGGAAAAATCATTTCATGGAAAAATGAAAGGACAAAGATAACAGTAGACATTTTTACAACAGGTTTGCTCTGAGAGCACAGGTGTAGTGAAAACTACCAGTAAATCAAAACCAACATGGGAAAGGAAAACACTCACATTAATATCATCATCATTGGACATGTGGACTCCAGCAAGCCCACCACCACTGGCCATGTGGTCTATAAATGCAGTGGTATTGCAATAAGAACCACTGAAAAGTTTGAGAAGGAGGCTGCTGAAGTGAGGAAGGGTTCCTGCAAGGATGCCTGGGTCTTGACAAGTTGAAAGCCGAGTGTGAGCGTGATATCACCATTGGCATCTCTCTGCAGAAATTTGAGACCAGCAAGTATTATGTGACCATCATTGATGTCCCTGGACACAGAGACTTCCTCAAAAACATGATTACAGATACATCTCAGGCTTACTGTGCTGTCCTGATTGTTGCTGCTGGTGTTGGTGTATTTGCATCGGATGTCTCCAAGAACAGGCAGACCCATGATCATGCCCTTCTGGCTTACACACTGGGTGTGAAACAACTTATTGTTTGAATTAACAAAGTGGATTCCATGGAGCCACCCCACAGCCAGAAGAGATATGAGGAAATTGTTAAGGAAGTCAGCACCTACATTAAGAAAATGGGCTACAAACCTGACACTATAGTTTTGGGCCAATTTCTGGTTGGAATGTTGACATACTGGAGCCAAGTGTGAATATGCCTTGGTTCAAAGGATGGAAGGTCGCTCTTAAAGATGGCAAGGAGAGTGGAATCACACAGCTTAAAGCTTTGGATTGAATCCTACCCACTTGCCGAACTGACAAGCCTTTGTGGCTGCCCCTCCAGGATATCTACAAAATTGGTGGTATTGGTACTGTCCCTGTGGACTGAGTGGAGAATGCTATTCTTAAATCTAGCATGACTTCTTTCCAGTCAACATCACAACTGAAGTCAAGTCTGTTGAAATGCACCATGAAGATTTGAGCTAAGCTCTTCCTGGGGACAATGTGGGCTTCAACATAAAAAACGTGTCTGTCAAAGATGTCCGGCATGCTTATGTGTAAACATAAGAATTATATAATTCTTTATGCCTATTTACAAAATACATTCTAATTGTAAATGTTTTTTAATCATATTGTGCAGGGACTTAAAGTTCAACATATCAATACTTGATGAAAATTACCTGTTCCATGTTATGCCTAAGATGTTTGATATTCAGAAAGATAGTGAGGTTAAACTTAACAGCCTAGGTTGTATGGTAACACAATAAGCTTCTCTTCTGAATGGTTAACAACCAATGTTCGCAGACCAAAATTAGAGAAAAAGGAGGGCTGTTAGGAAAGCCAAATTTTGGCCCTAGCCTTCCAAGGTCAATTAACAGTCAAGACATATGAGAACTTGTACTGTAACATCATGTAACTCTGTAGCGTCCCAAATTTTGTGATCAAGGAGATTATGGGGCCAAAGAGGAAAGTGATCGATGATGTAGAGTGTGCCTAAGGAGA